TCGCCCCGCCCGCGCGTGACCCGCGGCTGGTGCGGAGGAGGTCCTGCGCGCCGGCGAAGTCGGACCACGCGGGCGAGTACACCACGCCCGGGTCGCGGTCGTCCACCAGCAGGCGCTCGGTGCCGGCCCCCGGGGGAGGCCGAGGCGTGGTACGTGAGGTAGTCGAGCCGTAGCGTGCACTCGTCCGCGGCGGCCGCGGCGGTCTGCGTGATGAGCAGCGTGTGCGGGCCATCGGCGAGCGGGCCCGAGGCGAACAGGCGTTCGTGGTACGCCGCGGTGGGCGAGCGCGGGGCTGGGTACTCCCCCGCGCTCTTCCCGTCGAGTGTAAACCCGAGTGCGCCCGTACTGGCGTTCGCCGCGACGGTGCCGTACAGCTCCACGGATGTCCCTAGCCCTCATTGGCACACCTTTCGCTCTGGAATGAAGAGCCACGCACCGACGAACGGGAACAAAGCCGTCGCCCCCTGAGCCTCCCCGCAATGCGACGTCCGCCCAAACTCGAGGTCCCGCGCGCCCCCGCCCGCAGACACCCGCCACCCGCTCTCCGGCGCATACTGCACCCCCGCGTCCGCGTCGTCGACGATCACCAGCCCGCCCGGCATCGTGGTCGCTGTCGCAGGCGTAGTCGCTGTCGCGCTCGAAGCCGTCTGCAGCGGCGTAGTTGTCTGCAGAGGCGTCGGCGCAGTCGTAGTCGCCAGCGTAGTCGTCGTCGTCGTCGTGAAGAAAGAGAAAGCGAAAAAGCGAATTGCAAATTCTCCTGCGTCCGATCCGATCCGATCAGCAGACAGCCGTACCCTGTCGGCTCGGCGCTCCCGTCGTCGCGCACAGGCCCAGCCGGATACCCGCCCCCGTCGAATCTCACCCCCGCGCCCGCCGCCCTCCGCTCTCCCCACCCCAGGCCTGCGCTCGTCGTCGAAAGCCGCCTATCAAAGCCCTCGCATGGGCACACTGACACACAGCATCACACAGGCCACCCGCCCGTCCTTCGTCGAGACTCCACGGTCGTTGATCCGCGACGCCGCGTCAAACGCCGTCACCACGGGCGAACCTATCCGATCCCCAGGGTCTCGCCACGACAACCAGTCAGGGCCCAGGGGCACATATCACTGCGGGAGTTCAGGAATAAACAGCGCCCGTTTCAATTGATTATACACCTAAAATGTATCAAAAAAATAAATTTTTTGCACCTTTATTTGTGCCAAAAAAAAATGCACTGATATGGTGAATATGCCCTTATATAACATATATCAGGGCCCTGGATCATATAAGTGAATCTTTTTTTGGCACAAATAGAGGTATAAAAAAAAATCTTTTTTTGGTACATTGATTTTAGCGATATAATCGATTGAAACAGGGGCCGTTTATTTCCGAACTCCTGCAGTGTATAGTGTGGCCGCGAGTCGAGTCCGAGTCGAGCGCAAGTTGATGGATCCACTCAACTCGTGCCAACTCGTGATGAGACTCATCATTTGGCTCGCGAGCCGACTCATAACAACTTCCAAATGTAGACAGTACTATCAAGTAGATAAAAATTGTAATCTAAGATAGTGCTGGCCAAATATAATTATATTATTTTATGGGCATTATAATCATATCATATTCAGAGCTCCAACCCAATAATATATTCAGCTGCAAAATATGAATATGTTATGAATATATTCAACTATAATCTGGTATGCATATCTCTTGATATATTTGACATATTTTGGTACTAGAAAAAAAAATCAAAAGCATAAAATACATGCTGGATTGTCTGGGCAACTTCCTTTCAGGCCTCTTTAATTTCAATCTGGGTTACATAGGACTCTCAAAAATACAATCAGGGGCATTGCCACTAGTATTAGGTTGGCCAGTAGACACTAGGGTTAGGGTTTCAACCCAAAGTGATCATTCCTGACACTTGTTCCTACTAGAAGTAATGTATGAACCACCATATATAATAGATAATATATGATATTCATTAGAAGTAGGGCTAACTCAGACTAGAATTAGTACTATGACTGAGTACATGGACTGAGAACATAGCTGTGATCATCCACCTTACTATAGTTGAATATTCTATGACTATAATATAATATAGTCATAATATAATATAATATATTCAAACATAATCATATTCAAGTGATCTACTAAGGGCATAATATATTCATAATATTCTGAATATATTCAATATTTAATCAACCATAATATAATTCTGGCCAGCACTAATCTAAGACAACTAGCTCTCATAGGGACGGAGTTCTTCACGTATAGCCTCAAGCTCACCATTCTCCTGCAACTCTTCCATCTCACTGCTGGACAATCCTACGGGCCATGGAGGCCACCTCCGCTGAGTTAAGCACATGTTGCATGCCAAGAGATTGTTTTCATCGAGGTATTGGAGTATTGCTTTGACGACAGCCAACGGATACTTCGAGCTGTTTGTTAATGATCACAATATGAATACACAATAGACGACCTGCGAACTCACAGCTCTCCACTCTACGATGACGACGGCGAAGCCATGGCGACATAAACAGAGAAATATTCCCGTTTGGTCAAATACAGCCCACATTTTTGAGGTCAGATCTTCTGACATATTGTGCCAGCGATCTTCGCAAGGGTTCTCCCCCCGCCACTGCCGCCACCTTTGCGACATGATTCTTTGCCCAGACATCGACTTCTTCTCTGGAAAGAAAATAGGTGCCGCCACCATCCCGGTCATCGAGTCGCTGGCGTGAAAGACGGTTACCATCGACACGCTTCAAGGAGTTATTGCCGTCGATTGTGAGCAGGTAATCATACGGTAGGTCGGGTTCTTCTTCGAGCTTATAGCTGTATGCTGGGCAGTCGTTCTTGACTCGCCAACTCTGCCCCTCCCTCCCGAGGCATTGAAGGACCCGAGCTTCTGCAGTACGCCGAATGTCAAGATAAAAGTCGAAGGCAATCGAGAACTGTTGGCGAAGATAAGGTCGATAGGGGACCCGGTGAAGATCGCAGAGCGTTTTGACAAAGGCTTGAACCACAAGACGGGGGCAATGGGCATGAACAACACGATAATGCTCCAATGTTTCAATTGAAATGAGAACCGTAGGCGAAAAGGGAGAACACGGGACAAAACCTTGGCGAAGTAATGTGGCACAAATGCCCTTGCTTCGGTCAAGCCCTAACGAAACACATTTGGTAGCTAATTAGAGTCAGCGTCAGGGCCTCTAACGCGCTGAGAAAAGACATACCAGATAGCCCAACAACACGGAAAGAAGACACCACATTATTCTCCGCCGTCTCGTTTGCCCAACGACCTTCTTTACGGGCGTCGACTTCAGTCGCACACCAGTCCATATATGCATCGACAGTGGCCTTCATTTGGAGTTTAAATCCATCCACAACTTTTTGTGTACGGTCCTCGCGAGAACGGTCATCAAAGTGGCGTTGAGAGCTTCTGATATATCAGAGTTATGGACTTCTGGGAGCTCAGAGACTAACCGACGGAATGTATCCTCTGCAATCTCATGCTCGAGGGCGGAGAGTAACTCGCCCCCAGCATGGCTGATATCCAAAGGTTCACTCCCATCGAGTATTTCGCCTGCACCGACCCAGCCTTGCTCTGAGTTATTTTGACCCTCGCCATGATGCTCCTCTTCTCCAGCTTCAAATGTTTCGAGCAGTCTGCGTTGTTGTCGCATCATTGCTAACATATCATAAGCCCAGGGGTGCTCACAGGTAGGTGGGCCACTTTAAACTTACTGAGTAATCGCCGTTTATGTGCCTCCCGAGTGGATGCGGAGTGCTTCAATTGCCCTATGGGCCCAAGAGTGATTGACTCCACATCGTTGACACCAGGGTCTGTGGATGCGCGGACGATGCGAACCCGCCCCGACCGTTTTCGCTTCATGTGCTGGCGTCACTCGTCAATATTTTAATCAATCATAATATAATTCTGGCCAGCACTAAGTGCCACGTGATCGAATTTGCGAGGCCAAGACACTACTTTCTTCTTATACTGGTCAAACAGCCGGATGACATGAGGTGCTGCAGCACTTCTCCGCGAGCGCGCAAAAGGTGGGGGAATGAGAAGAAGACAAGCAAAGCGTGACGTGTGACGTAACTCCCTTTCGGGGTTGTTCCTGACCACCACCATGCCCTCCCCATCCCCTTCTTTCCCGCCCGAACTGGAGCTGGTTTCGGACAGCAGCCAAGGCCTCCTTGCACACATTGTACACTCTCCTCCTTCGTCGCGCGGCGCACCCGACTGTGGTGAGTGTGATCGATTCCCGACTTGTGTAGTACGCCCAATGGACGCACAGGCTGGAGCCTTTACTCTACCAAACGCTGCACTTCGACCCCAACTACAAGTCGCCTAATCTGACGACGATGAATGCTTCTCGACAGGCCTTCCTCGCTGACACTGTGCGCCACGTCGTCGTCTCTGTTGATGATTATTTCGTCATCCCACCCCTGGGCCCCTTGCGTATCTGCTCGCAGATCACACATCTCGCCTTGGGCCTCGCCATCCACCATCCCTTCGTCCGCGAGGCGCTCCTACAGCTCCGCCACCTTCGCTGTCTAGCATTTGACCCGCGCGCCTGCCAGCTTTCACCGAGCGACGCCGCCCTGCCCGTTTTCGCCGGGCAGATAGATTTCGCCGTCTACCGCCGCCCACCTGCCGCTACCCGCCGCGACCCTTACCCCCATCGCCGATTTCCCCTGTCACGCTGCCGCCACCGTCACACGGTGGGGTAGCGGCTGGGTAGCGGCGAAGTGCATGTTTTGACACAAATATGCACTTCGCCGCCAACTATGGAGGCGGCACTGCTCGCTTTGCCGCTATCCACCGCGAATTGTACCGCCGTTATCGCACTTGAGTGATCGTGATGAATGCGACGTCGGCATCGTCATCGTGCACGTGTAGGTCACATCATGTCACCTTGACATCAATCAACGTACGTCTCTTCCTCCCTCCATGTGCTGGCCGACAATTCGCTCATTCGATTTCCGACTACTATTACAAATCTTAGGCATCAACGTTGCAACTGAGAAAACTCCCCGAACCGCGAGCGCAACAGTCGCTCGACGGGTATCAGCTCGTCATCGGACGGGACACGCTTTCGCTTCACCTGGCTGGGTGGCTTTGCCTGCGCCGTAGACACAGTGTCTAACATCTCCACGTCTTGCAACGACTGCTTTGGCGGCGCGCTGATGGGAATCGGCTCTAGGGTTACGTCGGAGCCAGGTTCAGGTTCGCTACGATAGAAGCGACTGGGCCGGAAATCTCCCTTTTCAACAATGTGCGTGCGATTGAACTCGGTGAGTCTTTCTGCAAGAGTGGCCTCACTCCATTTTGACTTGTGTATTAGCTCTGGTGGTCTTGTCGCAAGCAACATCGCGCGGCGCATCTCCCAATGGTCTCTCTCCCATGGCAACGGGAAGATCTTCCCCTCGACTAGCTCCTGGAATGTGGCGCCATTCAGATCTAATGGCAGGTCCATCTCGTCTTGAAGTGCTAGGAGCTGAAGCAGGGCATTCCCGACTGCCATCACTCTGCGCTTACGCTCTTTCCCAGAAATGACGACAACTTTGGGGTTGCAAAGCTGTTCTAGAGGATGGCGCATCGCTTCCTCTAGCTCAGGTGTGGCAGTCAGCTGTGCAGATTCGAGCCAGTCACTGATTTTGTGGTCCCGAGCACTTGCAGGTCGATTGTCGAAGTACACCAGGTAGGAATGGATGACTGGATGGTCCGGAGGGAAGCGTCGCAGCAGCTCCGCCAGCTGTACGACAGCGGAGGAGAAGATTGCTTGAAGCCGCTGCTGGGTAGCGACCGAGGTCGTCGTCAAGAAGGAAGGTACGGCAAAACAGCAAACCTGAACGTTTGTCAGTCTCAAACTATTATTTCATGCTCAGCTGTACCTGCTCAGGTTTAATGGGATGCCCGATTATCTCTTTGCACACCTGGCGCGACAGTGTGGTGGTCATCGGAGGGATGAACGTCCTCCGAGCGAGCGGGTCTTGAGGCTCCGGCCATACGATTCCATTGATGTACCGAAAGGTAAACTGTTCCCGCGTTCGATTTATTGACGTGTTCTTGACTCTAGCAGGGTACCAAATGACAGAGCTGTCACTCCATGGGACTCCTGGTGGCGGTTTTGGCAGAAGAACAATCTCGTTTCGGTAAAATCTGGGCCTTTATGTGAGTAACTTGCTTGCAGCCCAGAAAAGACTCACAGATCAATGGGACGAATACAGTGCTTGCAAACAAAATCGCAGCTCGGATCGTGCCAGTCCTGGTCTCGATTGTAGTCTCCGTCGTCGCGAAGACATGCCTCGTGGCTCCAGAACCGACATTTCGAGCACTGAACGCACATGTCGTCTGTGTCGTCAAGCCCAAGCTCCCCACAACTGCAACAGTTTAAAATGCAAGGGGTCTCTGAATCTGTATCCTCCGAGAGACTCGGTGCGGCCTTTGGTGAGGAAAATGCGGCGCTCTTGAGTAAAAACTCGTTGACAGAATCGTCAGATTGCGATGACTTCGCGAAATTGGGCCGCAGATCACGAGTTTTCCGAACGTGAGGGATCCCGAATGACGATGTGTAGCTCTTAGGTTGGAGCAGCCTTGTTTCACGATGCTGGTAGGAAAAAGGCTGACGCTTATCTTCAGGCTCTGTTCGCTCCGGGGTTGACTGCACCTTTGCCGTTTTTGTGATCTTTCGCCGGGCCTTGCGAACTGCAATAGGTCTGTCGCTCTCGCTACTGGTGTCAGTAATCATGATGCGTGTCGAAGGTGCTGCCAGATGGTTCGCCAACGATTTCAGCCCCTTCTCATGATCCCGTTTTGTTAGCTTCACGGGCGAGCTGTTGATATCTCGAGTATACTCCCTGGTCTCGGCACGATGTCGTGTACCAGCCCATACTCCCCGCTCATCGACGGTCATCTCCTCGAGGTGATTGGCATCCTCGAGGCGTGCGATACTCCAAAAGCGATCCGTTGACAAGGACCGCCCAAGTTGTAAGCCACATGGCGCTGTTCTCTCCCGCTGTTCTCGGAACACCCTTTGCGCGGTCTCACCTCCATCTAGGTGGTAAACAATAGCCATTGGGCGGTAGCCTTCGGGAATGGACTGAAAATCGGACGACAACCCGGTCATCCATCGAGCTAGTTTCTTGCCGGTCAAACGAATCGCGTGCCCGGAATGCTTCATTCCATCGTAGTCGTACATTGCGTTGCTGTTTGCCGCGTGGTATCGGGTGAAGAAGTGTGAGTTATCGCCCCGTTTCTCCGTATGATTTGTGAAGATTACCGCGCAGAGACTATACCGGACTCCCAACCCCGCCGTTGCAAATGTAGGACCCAGCGGTGCGAGATGTGATGGGATAATCCAGGAGAATGGGCCATCCTCGCCCAGTTCGACCGTGAGTACAATCGGGATTTCGATGATGAACTCCTTTGATAATGCGAGCCCAGCGCATAGTGATCCTCCATCCGCTTGTCGCCAGCAAGCGACGGCAGTCCACTGCTTCGGCAACATGACCCATTTCATCCATTTCTCAAGATCACCTCCATGGCTATGATGATCATCCTGAGAAAGGCGAAACGGGGAACGCCAAAATGGATTGGTTACTTCCCAGTGCTCAGTAGCGGTCGGTGATTCCCCCTGGCACTTCTTTACGATAACCGCTTGGGCACGGAAGAGCGATAGCGCGATTTCGCCTGACATGTCGGTGCGTGACTTGCATTTTTTGATTTCATCCGCTAGTATCTCATTCAGCCAGCCCTATCGAAGCTCAGTCTCAATTACTAGAGTACGTTGAGCCTCACCAAGATACTGTCCGAAAGTCCAACACCCCGCATGGCCTTGATCTTCACCAGTTGTAACCGTAACTGGTCGCGACCTCTCGTCAACTCCGCGCAACCGTTGGGCTCGTACGCCGTATGTGAGGACTGGGATATCTGCTTTTCTAGGAGCATTGCAACCGAGTGTATTATGTGCGGCATCGGTAGGGCATCTTGGAGGCGTCGAATCCATGTAGGGTTACGACTCAGTGCGGAATAAATTGCGGTAAGCGACGAATCGATCGAACAGGAGTGTTGATCCCACTTATAGGCCCGTTGGTATTGATCTGCTACCATCTTTTTACCCTTGCGGGAGGCGGCTTGCAACGTTGCAATGGTATCTGGTGGGCGACCATCTGAAACAGTTTTCTTGCCGCTTTGATGCCGCGTGTGCTTTGTGTAACCAAACACTGCCTTCGTTTTCTTCCAGTGCTGCGGATCGGCACCGTAGAAAATTTTGTTTCCCGCTGCACAGGTGAGAAATTAATCATCAGAAACAACTTAAAAGTACCTTTCGCAGCATAGTATCGTCGCTCAAATGTGTCACCAACACGAATCAGCGCCGCCAGTCCAGGAACCAACTGGTTCTTCCGCTCCGCCATCGCATATATGCGGCTGTTCATGGCTTCGGCAGCGTTTGTGGTATCGGGGAGACTCATTGCGATAGCGGGATCCATCTCTCTCGCTGCAGCAAACAGCATTCGAGCGTGGTCGGCTCGCAGCCACCATTCCGCCCATGGACTAGCATGCTCAAATGCGGTCATCAGGTCGTTACCGAAGGCATGGAGCTGATCCAGATCCTTTGCTCGGAGCATCCGCTGCGCCAATTCTCGAAATCGGGCCTGCTGTCCAGGAGGTACGACATGACTAATCTTAGCGACCCGCGTTATCTGGTTTGAGAAATGCTGCAGACAACCTTTCAGGAGTGCACCACCAATTTGTGCCAGCTCGGAATCTGTCTTGTTTGTCCACTTGGAGCCCTGGCTCCGCCGAAGATCGACGTAAGCTCCGGAAAAACCCTTGCTTTGAGCTTGACTGAAGTCGACAACCTGCCAGTGAGGGAAGGTGAATACTTAATCGTGGACGACATTATTGACTCACGTTGGCAAGGAATTCATCGATGAACTTGATACCCTTCTCTTTGCACCGTGCCACGATCGCAGCGAAGAGAAATGCAAAAAATAGCCGATAATGTTCTGCCGATGCACCGTTCGAAAAACAGATAAGAATGGGAATCCAACATTTCAAGAATTGTGCCTCGAATGTCGAACTGAGAAACAGCAGGTGCGTCCGTTCTGTGAAGAAATCGTGGCATGCATCCGTGACAATCCCATTGACCGCCTCCGTAGAAATGCTGTTCTTGACTGCCATGCGACGTTGCCAGTTCGATTGAAGGATGACAAGTTGAACACCGTTACTTCCTTCATAAGAAATCGTCCATTCGGGATTTTCTTGGCGCAATTTCTCAAGGGCGGGTAGGAAATATTTGCTATTGAGACGAATCGCCGGCTTGATCAGCTTCCGGCGCTCATATTGGATTCGCCCCGGATTGTCGAGCACTGGACTGATATTCGCAACAGAATCCCCTGGACCGTTGATTCCCGGCCGGCCCGTCAGAAGCTTGACAGGTCCCATTCGTGGATGCTCATGGACAATCTGCTGGAAATTCCGATCCTCGCGTTGGGAGAGATGTATCGCCGGAGCGTTGTCGTGATGATGAATGCCATGGTGCTTGAAGATCGCTCCTGTGCGGTACACCCAAGACTCGCATTTGACGCGGCATTTATGCTCTATAATCTTGCCGTGACAGACTGAGCATCCTCTGCTCAACTGTCTGTCCCGCCCATGCTGCTTTGTTTGCGGACGAATGATGACGCCGCAGGTGTTGCTTACGCATTTCATGACACCAAGACATTTCCGTACCGAGTGCCATCCGTCCTCGGGCTTCTCAGCGCGTCTACTTCCGGGAATATCAGCAGGCTTGCGTCCCTGCCCCTCCCAGGCCCCGTGAAGAGTAAATTTGTGCCGCTCATACCATGCCCGCGAGACCTTTCGTGTGAATTGACCATCAGGGCGAGGATTCCAGGGGCGCCGCAGGTTTCCTTCTCCAGATGTTACACTGTCCTCGCTCGCGTCACTCTCTGAAGATGTTGCGATAACCTTCCGCGAAGACACAACAGCGCTACGGTCGGCCTTCGTGAGTTTCTGGTGCTTTACGGTGGTTTCTTTTGCGTGTGAGAGGTGCAAAGCTGAGTCGCAAATTATTCCTCACATTTGCCAGACAAGTATGGGCGACGTACATGAAGGGGCACTTGGCTTGTCGAAGTATGCAATGTTACCAGTGTTGTCGCGACCAATTTCGATTGAGCGAAGCGTTGAAGCATGAACTAGGATCATGCCAGTGTGAGCTCCCATCCAACATCTAATGTGGACGTACAGAGGGGTAGATTCTCGAATCCTGCTGGTGTTTCATTGTCTGTTGTGCTCCCATCTGCGTCATCGGAAGTAGGTATGTCATCGGGGAGAAGCCTTCCGAGGAACCCCAAAACTTGATCCTGGATTCTATCAATGAGCGCCAGCGACGCGGGACTTCATACTGACGAGCATTGTGTGTGGAGGGACGACGGAGAGTTGACGGAGCGGACAAAGAGACACAGAATGACAGCGTTAATTGATAGTAATGATGCGGAGTGTCTACAAGCTGACCCTGGTTGCTCGGGAGAATACCAATCTCGATATCACCTTGGCAACATTACACTGCCTTATCTGCGTCCGGATCAAGTGCCATTTCATCATTAGAGTCTGCCAGGGCCGCATTCATGTGTGCATCCCCATCGGATTCCATGTCCTCCGTTGCATGTCCGTCGCCACTGTCTCGTTCACCTACGCGGCGTTAGAGTATGGTAGGACTGCAAGAAACAAGTACCGTTGGACAACTCGAACTGGAACTCCTCGCCTGATGAGCTCTCTGATTGCCCAGCGCCTACCTGTAGCTGTATCGGCGGCTTGACGACAAGCTCTCGAAGTTTCAATGCCTTCCGCCGGTCTGGAAGCAAGGTATGAGTGTATCGACCATGCAAATGAATCCCCGAGTTCGAAAAAATGGCGCCTGCTTGGTAGATTGTTGTAGACCATTCGATTGGACATCTGAGATGATGAAGAGCCGCTCCACACTCGCACAAGACTTGGAGTTGGGGGCTTATATCGTCGCTTGGCGCAATCGAAATAGCACATGTGGGGCTGGTACAGGTGATTACTCCGGCACACACGTAGCGGCGCTCCAGCCCTTTGCGTGAGTCTTTGGCTTTCCGGGTGCCCTTGTGGCCCCGAAGCTTGTCACTCGCCCAATAACACACAAGCTCGTTTGTGAGCTTGACATGTTCGGCCGTGAAATCACTGCGGAAACGACCATTGGGGAAGCCGTCCCACACATGCAAAGAAACCAACTCAAAGGTGCCAGCGTCGTTGAGCGGTGCAGTGCGCGTTGGACCCTTGGGGCTTCCGAGTGCAGACGGTACCATTGAATTTACAGGCGGGTCTGTCGACTGGTTAGTTGTTTCAAGCACGGCCAACATCGTTGCACTATACCTCTGGTTGGAGGCGCTCTCGGGACAAGAGACAGCTCGATATCTTCGATTACTCGTCCTTTTGGATTCCCTATATTGCCCGGTCAGTCGGAAGCGGCCCAAAGCGGCCGTGCGCACACCTTTCTCATCATAGTACAGTCTTACCTGTGATCCTTTGATCTTCTTCCTTCCATTTGCCTTCATTCTTGCGAGCCTGATGAATAGGACACGAAGGAGAGCTAGTATGTACAAGATTGCGGCGCCATATACTGCCAATACGCAGGTTGTCGGAGTTACATGTGCCTGTAGAGCAGAGTGGACCCAATTCGCAAGGGAACTAAGAGTTGCTCGTTGTAGGTAGACAAGAGCTGCACCAAGAGCCCAGTTCAGCAGGAGCTGTGTGTTCAGCATGGCGGTTGTCAGAGAGAAAGCGATGACGTGTCACCCGTCACTCAAGTCACACTGAGTCACACTGCATTACTAAAAACATTGATCAAAGAACGAGAGGTGACCTGAAGCATTCGCGATGGGACAAGTAGCTCAATTACCACAGCTAGCTGCCGCCCACATCATGTACATTACTGCCTATACCTTCGTCGCCTATATCGCCGCCTTCATTGCCGCCTTCAAATCGCCGCTTTCGCCGCTTTCGCCGCTTTCGCCGCTTTCACTACCGCTTTCACCGCTTTCACCGCCGCCTTCTTTGCTGCCTTCGCCGCTCATCGCGCCGCCGCCCACATGAATCATAGCCGCAGCCTGTGCCAGACAGCACAAATGCTCATGTCCAGCCAATGGCTGCACTGTTTCCTGTCACATCGAGCTCATCGCCGTCACACAGTGGAAGGCGGCGAAGTTACTGATTTTTAGTCTTTCACTTTTTTGTGTAGAAAGATGTATTCCATGGTCTCTTACACCATAGTGAAGACCCTACAAAGAAATTTGCATTTCTTCCAATGCTATTTTGATTTTTAAGCCATGAATTGATGCGGAGGCTGACAGCATCAGCCAATGTTCAACACGGCAATGCATGTACTCCTATCGGTTAGAAGGGTCCCAATACTTACTTCTGACAACTACCAAGCATTGCAGCCTTGTCTGTTGCTGCTTTGCGGTTGCAGCGGCGCTGCCCTCGCGCCGCACAAGGGGTAGCGGCAGGGTAGCGGTGAAGTACTTAATTTTTAAGATTTGAGATTTTTGTATGTTTTGATAGCCCTATAGGTCCACTACACGATAGCGAAAATCCCATCATCAAATTCCAAGTCGTTCCTTCAAAATTTCCATTTTAAGTAATGAACCACTTTTGAGGGATTGAGGATTAGGGCATGAACACATAAACAGACAACATTTTTGCAGATATAACTGAGTATATATTCATTTTTGGTCATGGTCCATGATATCCTGTGATCCTTAGGAGACTCCTGAATGGCATATGGCAAGCAAGTAAATCAACAGTAAATACCAAACACGGTACAAACAAATCAAAACTGTAATCAGGCGAGCCAGGTCCAACCGCGGTAGTAGGCCATGCACGGAGAATTGCAGGCATTGGTGGTTGGCTTGCGCCAATCAGCCTTTACAATGGTGCGCCTGGTGGCGCGTCCTGTGCGGAGGTTTGCACAGAACTCCCGCTCTCCCTCTAGCTCCCACTCGCCTCTCCCGCCCTTCGCGCTGCCTCAAGGCGGCCCTCAGACTCGCTCAGAACCTCCCAACGCTCACTAAACACGCCACTGGTCAGCACATGAGGTGACAACAACCAACACTGACATCTGAGAACATCCGGGGCCAAAATATGCCCGCGCGGGCGATTGTGGGGTGGATCGCGTGAGAATCGACGAGCACCACGCGCCGTACTTGCTGGTGACTCGTGTAGACTTGCGCGGTGATCCACCGGCCGGATCCAGGCCGGCGCCAGGCACGACTCTGGCCAAGTCCGGCCAAATCTTGACTGTTTCGGCCCCCGCGAAGCCTCGCGGGACGTATCCGAGGCGCTTTGGCGCGTCATGGCTGTTGAACGCGTTCTAAGCACGGACTGGGGAGCTCCAAGGAAGATTTGCGGCCATGTCTCTGCCGCAGCTGCCAGTGCACTCTGGCATGAAAGCACCCGATCCCCGGGCCCGAGAGAGAGAGCAGGCCAGTCGACGTCGCAAGGTCCTGGCGTCGCGTCTGCATTTGCCAGTGCGCGGCGCTTGCGAGTTAGGCGGAGAGGGAGAGCGTTGCGAAGTCACGCGTCGCGTCGGCAAAGATGAGCCGCAGCTGGAGCGCAAGGAGGATGTTGTCATGGTGCCGGTTAACAGGAGCGCTGCTGCCGACATAGCTCGATGTGTTGGTAGAGGTAATTACGGCGAATGTCGCGGGTTAGCAGCCCAGGATAGCGGCAAGTCCCAAGATAACGGCGCAAGCAGACCCAGGTAGCTCCGCGCCAGTGAGCAAGTGTGAGCTTAGCGGAGGGCGCGAGTGTTCTGCAGCAATGTGATAGATGGTGGTGGAGCGGAAGAGAGAGGGAAGAATCCTGCCACGTGTCACCATCACTGTCGCCGCCGGCGAGCGTTGATGGCGACGATCAACGGCATGAATTCACAAGAAGAGGCTGGCCATGGCGAAGGAAGCCGAGGACAGTGGCGGTTGAGTTGGAAGAGAGCTGCAGCTGCCGCGTACTGGGGTTGCGGCTATGGTATATCGCCGCTCTCCTAGTTTGGCTGGGAGCCGCCACCTGTCACACCAGAGCCGCTACCACCATGTGGGAGAGCCGATACCAGCCGCCTCACCGCCGCTATCCAGCGCCGCTACCCGAAAGAAAGCGGCGAAACACAGTGTCACTTCCGCCTGCCGCCGCTACCAGCCGCTACCCCAACATTTGTCAAGACAAGTGCTCGCCAACGCAGGCACCGTTCGAGCCGCTAAGTAGTGCATTCGAAGGGGCTCGTCGAGCTCTATGGAACGGCCCATAGATCATGGTAATAAGGCTACTACTGACACAGATATTGTCTACATAAATTCTGGTAGCGCCGCCTCCCGCCGATTTCGCGCCGCTACCTGGGTTTCGGCGAATTCTTTTGGCCCGTTTTCGCCGGACTCACACACCTCGAGCTGTTCGCAATGATCCCCGGTGCCGCCGAGTTCTGCGCCGCTCTCCCGGGGCTGACACACCTCGCGCTAAACACGATGAAGGAGGCGGTAATCACGCAACTGCTCGCCGCGTGTCCCCAATTGGAGCTCCTCGTGATTCTACAGGACGAGGAGAACCCGATGGGCGTCCTGCCCGGCGCCCCCGAGGCACTCACACACGACCAGCGGCTGGTGATTACCACATACTTACATCGACTGGGACGAAGGCGCCCTCGACAGCTGGAACTACTGGGCCGTCGCGGAAGAATTCCTGGCGCAAAAGCGGAGTGGGGCTACTCCAAGTGTGTACTAGCGATATTCTCCTTCACGCAGTGGCTGATCGACAACAGAAACTCAATTCGTCGCGGACAGAGATGAGATATGAAATAATTATCCCCATCGACCATATATGCAGGTGCTACAAATCGAATGAAATCCGAGCCCATTCAATAACCATAAAACTCCTCAACCCTTTACCCTCCTGCGCGTCCTGCTCCCACTGGCACTAACACTCCCACGATCGCCCCCAGCCTCACTCGCAGACCGTTTCACGCCGCGCGCTGCTGCCTGTGCCCGCAGCGTCCCGTAGAGCCCCGCATCAAACCCAATACACTGCAGTCCAAAGCAGTCGACGCCTGGCAACTCCTCTTCGCCTGCGGGCAGTGCCTTCCGTAAAATCTCCCGTAACCGGTGCCGAGACATAATCGTCAGCCACGATGACCACAGAGTGCATCCAAGCCAGCTTATCATATGGGGCGGGACCGCTGACCCTGGCTTGTGCACTGACCGGAGACTATGCACCGTGTACACGCCCGCGTAGTGCACCGCATCGTCCCGTGTGTCTTCAATGACAATGTCCGGGGGCCGCAGCGCCACATGGCACAAACAGCTCCACCTCCTCGCCGACCATCAATCACGCTTAGCTGAGATGATCGATCGCTGACCGTGACTCATCGCACACGACTTGGCTCTTCCGCTCACCATGGCCACGTCATACCGCTGAAGAGGCGTTAGACGACGCACTACGGGTCTTCGTTTTGTTCTGCGGGGTGGAGGCGTAGAAAGGCAGCCCGCGCTGGACTCCACGAGCCACCACGGACTGCGTCGTCCGCGGCGGGGTCGCGGGGTGTTTCCCTCGGCGTGAGATTCTGTGAATGCATTTTCGGCTGGTGCGTCTGGGCCTGTGCGCGACGACGGGAGCGCCGGCGATGGGCCGACAAGCTGCGGCTGTCCGCTGATCGGATCAGACGCAGGCGAGCCAATGCGCTTTTTCTCTCTTTCTTCTTCCCGACGACCATGTCTTCGCCTGCGCCTGCGACGGGGACAACGGGCGCGCTGGGGACGGCGGGCGCACTGGGGATGCCGGGCGGGCTGGTGATCGTCGACGACGCGGACGCGGGGGTGCAGTATGCGCCGGAGAGCGGGTGGCGGGTGTCTGCGGGCGGAGGCGCGCGGGACCTCGAGTTCGGGCGGACGGCGCACTGCGGGGGGGCGCAGGGGGCGACGGCGCTGTTCCCTTTCGTCGGTCCGTCTTTGTCTGTATTCCGTGATTAGAAAGTGCTTAGGAAAAGCAGGGACATCCGTGGAGCTGTACGGCACCGTCGCGGCGAACGCCAGCGCGGGCGCACTCGGGTTTACACTCGACGGGAAGAGCGCGGGGGAGTACCCAGCCCCGCGCTCGCCCACCGCCGCGTACCACGAGCGCCTGTTCGCCTCGGGCCCGCTCGCCGACGGCCCGCACACGCTGCTCATCACGCAGACCGCCGCGGCCGCCGCGGACGAGTGCACGCTACGGCTCGACTACCTCACGTACCACGCCTCGGCCTCCCCGGGGGCCGGCACCGAGCGCCTGCTGGTGGACGACCGCGACCCGGGCGTGGTGTACTCGCCCGCGTGGTCCGACTTCGCCGGCGCACAGGACCTCCTCCGCACCAGCCGCGGGTCACGCGCGGGCGGGGCGAACCTGACGTACACCTTTGACGGCCGCGGCATCGCGTACTACGGCCCCGTGACCGTCCCCGGCGCGCGCGCGGCTGTCGTCCTCGACGGCGCCCCGCCGGCCGTCTTCGCCGCGGAAAGCGTTGCGCTGGGTAGCGTGCTCTACTACGATTCGGGCCCGATACCCGACGGGCGGCACACACTGGTGGTTACGGCGCAGACGGACGCGGCCGTGTGGGTGGATTACTTCCTCGTCGTGCCGCCCATCTCCTCCGGACCCAGTAGCACCGGCACGAGCCCGCCCGCCGCGAGCAGCAGCAGCGCTGCTGCGCACAAACGGAGCGGCCCGAGCGCCGGTGCGATTGCGGGGCTAACCGTCGCCTGCGTCGTGCTCGTCGCGTGTCTCGCCATCGCCGCGTGCTGGCTCCTCCGGCGGCGCCGGGCCAAGCTCCGCCGCCACGACTCGCGCACGCCCGCGGCCGTGGACGCGCCCGACCTCCCGCCGGTGACGCCGTACGCGTACTACCAGCCGTGGCTCTTCCGCCGGCGCCTCAGCCGGCGCGCGCCCGGCCCCACGCCCGAATACTACCAGCCGAGCGTGTGGCCCGCGTCGGTGGCGCCGTCGTCGCTTAAGCTTGCGGTCCCGCTCCCCGCGTCGCAGACGCACCCGCCGCCGTCGCAGACGCACCCGCCGACGCCGCCGGCCCCCGCATACGAGTACCTCTACCCACACTCCGCCCTCTCCCCGCAGCTGTCCGTGCGCACCGCGTCCACTGCGCTCACCGCCTCCACGGCGCTCACTGGTACTACTACGACCACGACGGCCTCCACCGCGCCGACGATCACGACCGTCGTCACCGCCGGCTGCGGCGCCGAGACGTATACGTACCCGTACCCGTACCCGCAGTCCGAGCTATCCACGCGGCTGTCTGTGCGCACCGCCTCCACTGCGCCCACCGCCTCCACCACGACCAGTGCAACCAGCGCCAGCGCCCAATTCGAAACAAAGGAGGACATGCCCAAGCCGGCCGGCCCTCGCGAACGCGCCTCCGTGCGCCCGCTCCCGCACCTGCCCGCCGTGCTCGATGCCCTGCCCGAGTGATGGGCCCGGGCCGCCCGGATGGGTTCATCTGGAGAAAGAAAAGAAAAATACAAGGAAAAAATAATGTTAATGGGCGGATAGACAGGGGACAGATGTTTTGTTTCTTTCATCCTTCGGTCTATATCTAGATGATTATTGTGTTTGTGCTTAATCAACTCTTGACACAGTGCTGATATGCGGGTTCGACACCGGATATCAGTTTAATGCTTGCCAATTCCTAATCGCTTTTTGTCTTTTTGATTGAACATAGACTCTGTGGCAGGTGACGGGGATGGGGATGGGGATGGGGATGGGGATGGGGGTGACCAGGCCGCTCGGGTACATTGCGTGAGAAAATTGTGTTCATGGGCCAGGATGGACATTCTGTGTCGTTTCCTTTGTTGGTATATATCTATCTTTTATTTTTTTTTCTACTGTAATCACTGGTAATGTCTGCATATCTCTCTACTGTCCCTCTAGATGCTCCTGCCCCAGATTATAGCAGTCCCTGTTCTGGATAGCAGAGAGAGAACTAGCATGTCCCGGTTCAGCCCCGGCGGTCGTGCTTATATAGAAATACTAGACAGGCTGGGGCTACGCCCCAGCTTTAAACGTTGCTTCACAGCTTTTGAAGATTGAATGTGCTAATTTTATTTATGAGTTCATGAAATCTCAAGGTCTACATGCCCTACCTACTAATGTTACCGCTAAGAACAATATCACAAATAGCCTTAGATTAGACTTGTTTATGGTGCAAAATCTTAGTTTTATATAGTTATACAGCTTTGTGTCCTAATTAGACTCTTTACAGCTTTTCTTACCAAATTAGGGTTTCAACAGCAGTGAACCCAAAAGTGGAAATGTGGAGTAAATAAATTGCTAAAGCTAATGCCAAACATGTGCACACATTCACATGACATCTGCTTAATATAAGAGTAATGTCTTGTTGTCTTTTGAATCAAGTAATGTTCACCTGTCGTCAATTACCTGATGATTGGCCTATAACAGAGTAGGCTATCCAAGCTTATGGGCCTGAAAGTATATAGATATAAGTATGAGAGTTGCACCGAGAGTTGTGAACTATATGAACTATAGATATTAGAGTGTATAGACTATATTTTCAGTGCCTTTATACCCATATAAGGCCCAAATCTTTCATATACAAGAAGGGTTTTTTTTTTACCCCCGGGGAACCCCCCCCCCCTCTCTTCCCTAGCCCATGTGCCTGATAAGGATCTTCAACCCCCCCTTGAGTCCTAACCGAATTTTCACTGGTTACACAGGTTCACAGGCAGTGCCGAAATTAAATTTTCGGCATTGATGTCACACAGTTTTCCAACACCAGATTGAATAAATTGTCACGGTACTATCATATTGTAGCCTTATGTGATCAACACTATGTGTGGTTAAAAGAATAATGCCCAAGTCTGGCCATGGTTTATGATGACCCTGGACGCCGGTTTGAACCGGCCCCGAGCAGCAGCAACCACGTGCACAAGGATTTGGCAACGATTGCTGACTCGCATCATTTCTCTTACGCGAGCCTTACAGCAGAAGAAACTCTCTACGGGATTAACCGGTCAAGATTGCCAGGTTTGGCGCTGATTCAGGCTCGGAGTACGAGTCCGTACCCCCCCTCGTCACCGCCCCTGCCACTTGACCCCTCCTCCTCTCCTCTTGTCGTCTTTGCGCCCGCTATGTCTACCAGAGCTGCTCCGGACGCTGACGTGCGCATGAACGCACTTGAGGCGAAACTAGACAACCTCACCAATATCCTCACCCACCTTGCTTCCCAGGCTTCCGCTGCCGCACCACCTTCGGCAGCTCCTGAACCGCCTTCGGCATCTCCGAATGTCCCCGACGCGGATGCGTTATTTGGTGACACTACTGTCGCCTCAAAACTGGTCCTTCGACCAAACCCCCCGTTTGCGTTTAACGGAGATCGCAAACGCGGCTGCGCCTTCCTATACGCGGTCAAAACCTACGCTCGGCTTGCCCCGGAGGCCTTCGTGGTTAATGGAGAGCCGAGCGAAGAAAAGGCCGTCCGTTACGCCATGTCTTATATGGCGGAGGGACCTGCTCAGCAATGGGCAGAGCATCATGGGAGTAAAACCCCCTTCCCCTTCCCTCTGTGGAACCTGTTCCTCTCCGAGTTTCGCCTACGGCTTGTTGAGGAGAATGAGCAGGACCATGCGCTCGCTAAGCTAGAGAGCGCGGGTTATCACATGGGGACACGGGACGTCTACGGATATACCGATGACTTCGAAGACTTGATGGACCTCGCTGGCTTCGAAGACGCGTTGGTTAAGGTAACCAAGTACCGCCCACGGACTTGACCCCTTGATCAACAACGGTATCACATCCTCGAATGACCCCCCCGACCTCCGTGACTATCTGAGCTGGCGCACTCGGGCTTTCCGACAATACGAAGCCTTAGTACGAGCGAAGCTTATCAAGGGAACGGCTACACCGCGGACCGCTTCGGGAGCTCCGCGCGGCACCTTCCCCATCGCCCGTTCGGCAACTCCGTTCCCCATCCGCCCGGTGGCCCCACCAGCACCACCCGCGGCGCCCCGTCTCGGTACCTCCGGCTCCCATCCCTATGGAGTTGGATCGTACTAGGGCTCGGGGCGCCCCTCGTCGAGCCTGCTTCAGATGCAGCGACCCCAATCACTTGGCTCGGGATTGTCCGCTCCCCGCCGATGTTCGCCATGCGGACATCCTTGACGAGGTGATCCAGCAACTTGGCGACGAGATGCTGGGAGAGCTGCTTGCGCGGCTGTCCGATACCGCGGCCTTAGCAGAGGCGCATTCGGAGGCTCCGGCAGAGGATTTTGTCCCCCGCGACGAGTGACTGGTGTGCCCTCGTTCGCATCCATAAATCGTTTCACTTGTTTGTATGATGAATCAACTCCCTTGCCCTACAACGAGCCTGAAACGAAAGACGCACCCCCTGCCCCCCTCCGAAGCCCCCCGTTCGGATTCGCCGACTTGCCTGGGAGAAAAAGTTACCTGGCAGCTATACCATCTCTGCCGCTCCCGGGGTTAACTCGCTCCACCTTCCTCTCGCACTTGAGTCCACTGCGAACGCGCTCAAGCTCTCCCTCTCAGGTCTGGTCGACTGCGGAGCCACCGGACTTTATCGATACAGAATACGTCAACCGAAACAACGTGCCAGTCCGAAATCTCTCAGTACCCATACCGGTCTACAATGTCGACGGTACTCCCAATGATGCTGGGTCTATTCGCCAAATCGCGGACCTCGTTCTACGGTACAACGGACACTCGAACGCGTTCAGCTGGCTGTAACCCACCTTGGGAAACAGGATTTGATACTCGGATACTCCTGGCTCAAGAAACACAACCCCGAGATCAACTGGGAAACGAAAGAGGTGAAAATGAGTCGATGCCCCCGAAGCTGCTCCACTTGCCGCGACGAGGAACGTACCCGAGCGCGCCGAGGTTCGGCGCCTCCGACTCCTCAAATCGCGTTTGCTCTCAGGCGCCTTCCCCACTGTTTGCGCTATCGATATTGCCGGTCCAGACGATGCTGACGACGAACTCGGAGCTACTTCAGACCCTCCGAGTCCCTCGCCAGACCTCGACGACGACGAGTATCTTGAAGACGGCGACCACATCTTCTAAACCTCCTTTCGCCCAATTGAGGAGATTCGCGCTGGGAGCACCGTGTCCCAACGCCTTGCAGAGGCCTTGGCCCGTAACTCGGCCCCCCTGCCTTCGGAAATTCCGGACTGGGCCAAGGATTTCCAAGACGTCTTTGACAAGGAGTCCTCCGACACGTTACCAGAGCGGAGGGCTTGGGATCACGCTATCGAACTTGTTCCCGATGCGACAGCTCCTATAGTCAGATCTATGCATAAGATATGGGTGGTGTCCAGGGAATATTATGCATAAGATATGGGTCCAGCTATTTATAACATATAATAGCCCTTAAATTTATTATTATTAGACTATTTAAGAGGATTATCCGTGATAGACTGATGGCATCTAGATATATACCTTGATGTGGAACCATTTTTGATTGCCATCAGTGATTCTGATGGCTATATAGAGATCCATCAATTGCATCCCAATTAGGATGATATTCTCTTTGCCCTATCACACAGTCCCCCTAACTACATACCGGGTCATCGGCCTGAAGAAATAGGACTTAAAGATATTATATATGATATTACATAAGTCATATCTGTCAATCCTGTTGTGTAATATCAGTTTTGATCTCCTGTCACAATTCCTGTCACAAGTCTCAGTTATAGGTCTTTGGTGGAACACCCATATCTTATGGATAGCTTTCTATGGACCTCACCAGCATTTTATGCATAGATCTAGCCATAGAAGGTGGACGCGAAGCCCGCTAATTGCAAGGTGTATCCGATCTCCCCCCTCGAACAGCGCGAACTTGACGATTTCATCGAGGAAGGACTTGCCACCGGCCGTATCCGCCCTTCGAAATCTCCAATGGCTTCCCCCGTCTTCTTCATTAAGAAAAAGGACGGAGGACTTCGGTTTGTCCAGGACGGAGCCATAGTGGTAGTATTTAGCCTAAATCCAGTAGGTGTACCTAGGAAATGCATTGCCTAGAATACTAGGTACAGCCAGAGACTAGGTACAGCCAGAGACTAGGTACAGCCAGAGACTATGTACACCTAGAACTTTAGCCTAGCAATTCTCCCTAGGCCAAAGCATTATTTTAATAGGAATATATATTATTTTTCTTTATCTGGTATCCTATTACCTAAGCTAGTGCTCCTATTTATATAATGTTCTTAATGTGGAACCATTTTTGATTGCCATCAGTACTTTTGATGGCTATATTACAATACATCATATTGTGGTAGCTCACTCGTCCGCGTGTAGTTGGCTAGAGTGGTCTAATGATGATGTGACTAGTGTAACTACGTGACATGATCCGTGAGGCTAGCCGGCCCGATATCCCATCACAATATTAGGATTATTATTGACACAGGCCTTCCCAAGTATATACCGGGTCATTGGCCTGA